ATGCAGTAATATGTGAGAAAATGTGAGATTGTCCATTTTGGAAGGAAGAATAGAAAGGCAGAATATTATTTAAATGGAAAGAGACTGCAAAATGCTATTGTACAGAGGAATCTGGTGACCATGCACATGAATTAAAAAATGTTAGCATGCAGGTACAGCAAACAATTACAAAGCTAAAATAAATGTTGGTCTTTATTGCAAGGTGAATGGAATGTAGAAGTAGGAAAAATGAATCAACTCAATGGGCATTGCTGAAACCACAACAAGCATACTGTATACAGTTTTGGTCTCTTTAACTAAAGGGGGATATGTTGCATTGGAAACAGTTCAGAAAACATTTGCTAAGCTTATACCACTCTTAGAAGGAAATGTTGAGCAGTTTGGGCCTATAATCAATGGAATTTAGAAGATTAAGTCTTGATTTTATGGAACTATAAGCTATTTAGTGTGAGTTTAGCAGTATAGATGCTGAAAGGATGTTTCCTACCATTGAGTGATCTAAAACTAAGAGGCAAAATTTAAAAATAAGAGATTTCCAATTCAACACTAGTTTAGGAGAAATTTCTTCTCTCAAGAGAATTATTAGTCTTTGAAATTCTCTTCGCAATAAAGCAGTTGAGACAAGGTCAATGAAAATGTTCAATGTTAGGTTAAACAGGTTTTTTGATCATCAATTGAGTCAAGGGTTATGGGGATAGATACGAAAACGCGTTAAGACCACAATCAGGTCAACCATGATCTTATTTGATGATGCAGCAGGGATGTTGGGCTGAATGGCCTATTTCTGCTCTTTTTCTTACGATCTTGTGATCTTGCCATAGCCAACCTGTCGGATATCTCCTGCCTAATATTTCCCTAACTACCCATTGAATGTTGTGATGAGCAACCTCCCTGCACCACTACCAGTTCGTGTGTTATAGATACTCCTGAAGTTTTGTTAGGGGGAAGATATTCCTAGATTTTAATCCAATATGGGAACAGCAATAGCCTTCTAATTCAGGGTGCCGTGTGGCTTGGAGGCAAAATTGCAGATGGTGGTGTTAACCTTTGTTCTAGCTGGTAGACATTGCAGGTTTTTAAAATGCTTTTGAAGGAACGTTGGTGAATTGCTGTTCTGCATCTTGCAGATAGTGCACTGCTTCACAGGATAGTGGCAGTGGTGATAGCTAATGTTTTAGGTGGTGAATGGGATACCAATCAAGTGGACAGCTTTGCACTGGATGGTGTTGAGCTTCTTGAGTATTTTTGGAGCTGCACTTATTCAGATAATATTGTTTATTCATTCATGGGATGGGGACTTTACTAGCAAAGCTAGCATTTGTTGTCCATCCCTAATTGCCCTCAAGGTCAGTGGCTAGGTTTGATTTCAGAGCATAGTTAAAAGTCAACCATACAGCAGTGGGTCTGGAAACGCACGTAGGAGAGGAGAATTTCTTGCCTAAAGGACACTAGTGAACCAGAAGGGTTTTTACAGCACTTAATGATAGTTTCATGGTCACATTACCATTTCTATTCACGGTTTAATTAATTGCATTTAAATTTCACCAGAGGAGCAGGAAAGCTGACGTTTTGGATCTGGACCCATAGGCCAGACCAGGTAAGGATGGCAATTTCTTTCCCTAAAGGGCAGTAGTGAATCCAGATGGGTTTTTCCAACAATTAGCAATGGACTCATGATCATCAGTAGACTCTTAATACCAGATTATTTTTTATTGAATTCAAATTCCACCATCTGTCATGGCGGGACTCGAACCCAAGTCCCAAGAACATTGCCTGGGTCTCTGGATTAACAGTCCAGCAAGAATACCAGTAGGCCATTGCTTCCCACAGTGGAGTTGATTTCAAGAAGGAAACAAAGCTTATGTTCAACAGGCAAAATATGCTGGCAGTTGATAGAGATATTCTTGTGTTCATATGGGTTACTGATGCACAATCCAGCTCTCACTGTTATAGTCAAGTGCGGTGACAACAAAACTGGAAATTGTTGTTGAAACTTAACAAGTCTGACAGCATCTGTGAGAAGAAAGCAGAGTTAACATTTCGAGTCCGGTAACTCTTCATCAGGCTCAGCTGGCACAGATTCTGGTACTAGATCTCCTTGACAATCACAGCTTTAGAGAGAGATAACTGTCAAGGTATGAGAAGAACATCTTCCAGTCTCTCCTTCAATACATATGAGAAATGGAATATTTGGATGATCATCTGAGCAATGATATGTGATTTGTTTTGGCAACATTTAAGGACAGGTCGAGTTTCTTGGATACAAATTAAGAGATTGAATATGTTGCAAATCTGGTACAGAGCCGGCATTGACAGTCATTTGTAAATCATAGATCATACATAACAATGGTGGCCAATTTACTTCAGGCATGGTGGTGATAATATCAATGCGTTTTCCATCTCAATAACATAATAATGACACCAGAGCTGCCAGTTAATTTTTAAAGGGGTGGATAGCCACTACTGGGTAGAGAGTTAAACCATATGGGGCGCATCACACATAACCTTGCTTGATGCTGTTACATATTTTGAAGGTTTCTGCTTCAAATTTCCCTCTCAAGGTAATTGCAGTTGAAGATGAATTTCATGAAGCATTTGCAGAATTGGAATAAGATTTATGGGAAATTCACATGTATGGAGGGCAAGCTGCAGAGGCTCATGATTTGCTGAGTAAAATGCTTTGGTCAGGTTGATGAATGCAATGAAGAGTTCTGGGTGTTGTGCTTGACATCTTTCTTGGATTTGTTTTACAATAAAGACATATCAAAGGTTCCTCTGAATGGTCTAATACCACACTGTGTCACTTGGAAGATGTCTTCAGTCCAGGATGTAGGCAGTTTAAAAGAATACAGGACTTTCCTTGCTACAAACAAGAGGGAAATACCTAACAGTTTCTACAGCATGATTTTTTAATTTCATTTTTGAAGATTGATACAATAGTTTCATTGGTGAATTCAGGTTGGGATGAGTATATTGCATCTTGATGTAAGGGAAAGTCCATCACCTTTGAAGACTTCAACAGGATGCCATTGGGTTCATTGCTTTGTTGTTTATCATCCATATGACAACATGTGGCAACTCTACCGTCAATAGTGGTGCAATCATAGATTTTAACACAGGGTACTGGAAGACAGCCTGGAGATGGTCAGCTGCCACAGTGGATTCAAGGTTGAAGAGAGGTTCAAAATGTTATTTTCCAGCATTGATGGATAGCACTGTTATCCTTACTAAGAGAACACAACCTGTGACTGAAGTGGATGTTGGCCTTTTGACATTGGTCTATAGATGATCCTGGTAACTTCAAAAAAGCCCTGATAATCAACATAATGTTGCATTTCTCATGCTCACACTTCTGGTTTGCATTATCTCCTTGCTTTGTCTTTCGGCATCAGCATTGATCTGTCAAAATCTGCCTTCTTGACTTGGATTGTTCTTTGAGGTAATTAGATTGCTTAGTTCTTTTTTAACATTGGTGGGCACATATTTCAGCATTTTAATTGAAGCAGTCTTGGTGACAACAATGCTCAAACCTAATAGCCTGCAGGACAGCTGACTTACGTTGATCATACTATCCTGAAATTGAGTTTGACATGTAGAGATTTTCCAGAAAGATCATGAGCTGTACTTGATAATCCTCCCTTCAGTCTAGCTGTTTTAGAACTGAGACACGCTTCCTTTTGACATTTCAGCCTTCTGAAGTCTTGTTGCTAGGTGGATGTTCATTCATAATATGATGAACTGTCCAGCAGGTATCAGTCCCCCAAATGAATCTTGTGATTTTGACATCACTTAGATCTCTGACACAAACAAGGTCCAGAGCTGCCAATGGTCTAGGATTCCTCTATATAGTTTTGTATTTGGCCTTCTAGCAGAAGAGGATGAGGGTACTTGTTATAATGAAGCCATGCTATAAGGGTGTGAAGGAATTTTCTTATGAGGAGAGCTTGAGTAGATTGGCCTGTACTCTTTGTAGTTTAGAAGAATGAGACGTAACCTTAATAAAACATGCAGGATTCACAGGGGACTTGACAGGGTGGTTGTGGAAAGGTTGCTTCCCCTTGTGGGATCGTCTAGAACCAGGGGGCATAATCGTGGAATAAAGCATCATAGTTAGGACATAAATGAAGGGGAATTCTCTCAAAGTGTGGTGAATCTGTAGAATTCTTCACCACAGAGGGTGGTAGAGGCTGGGTCTCAAAGCTGAGATAGACAGATTTTTTAATCAGTAAGTGAATCTAGGATAATGGGGTCAAAGGCAAGAAAGTGGAGTTGAGAATGATCAGATCAGCTATGATTTTATTGATAGCAGAACAGACTTGATGGGTTGAATGGGCTACTTCTGCTCTTACACCTTGTGATCTATGCCCTTGAGGTCTAAAATTATATTTTTCATCCTTTTGGAATAACAGTGAAGACTTCATCAAAGTTGGACTAGAACTTTTCCTTCACATCTTCATGAGAGTCAATGTTTAGTTCACAAAGACTGATGATGTTGGATCATTGATTATGGCTGAGATCAGGGGAGATGGTCATTAGACTTTCATTTATCCAACATTTATCTGAAAATACATCCAAGATCCTATTCCAAAGGCAAAACCAACTTTGAGGACACAAAGGTCAATGTTGACTTGTCTTTTCCAGTCAAGGGTGATCTGTCTGCCTGCTTGTCCCTTTAGTTGACCCTTCCCAGGAGGTGGATTCCACTGCTAGTGATGATGCCAATCTGGAGTGACCCAGAAAGGAGCATTCCAATTGTATCACTTCAGGTATCAATAACAGTATTTCTTTTCTATATATTTGTATAATAATGTGATATTTTCCATACTTCTGCAGTGCAATCTCCATCATATTTTATCAACCTGAAAAAAGAGCTGACAGTAAACACATAACCCAAAAAATTTGAATTTCCGTTGGCCTATTGGTTCATGTTTTGAAATGGGTAACTTTAAAAGAAACCTCTTTAGGCACGAACTTATATGAAGTCCACCTTTTTTTTATTGCCGGTAAAATTTAGCAGTAACATAGTTACATATTTACACATTTAAACAATTTGAAAGTACAGGTTTCAAAATATTTTATCAGAGTTACTAATGTACATAAGGCTTGATAATTTAGATATACCTCCTCACAATTAAGTAACAAAAGGTGACAAGAATGTTTGGCACTTACCGTATGGTGCAGTTCAAAGAGGGACTGAAAAAGTTGTAGACCTTGTGGTTTGTTACTGGTAATGTTCCCTATGGATTAGAACACAACCTTACCCAAGTTACAAAGTAAAGATCATATTGCTTTCACGGTTGATTTCTAGTTATCATATTTTGCAACATTTCAGCTGGCAAAGTTGCTTCAGCTATCAGAATTTATATATTGCCCAAAGCAAACGTAGCAGGTAAAACCAGCTAGAAAGATATCTCAATGGTATTGTTTATGTAACCCCAAGATACTTGGGAATAAAAAAAAACTCCCCAATTGGGAAACATGTTGCAGATGAACACTTTGTCATTTACCATTTGTTATATTCAAGTGCTTCTATTTCTGAAAGGCATTACATTTCCAGGCACTTAGGTATTACTTACTAAGACATTAGAGTTTTGCTCAGAATTTATTTTTATTTTAGCAACGTCTCACAGAGGCAAGATCACTTTATGAAGAGCAGTCAGTGCTTTGGTCTGGAACAACTTGAACAAACTATATCAATATTTAATTACAGACAATACTTTTCACCTATGAATATATTTGTAGAGTGTCTGTAGGAGAGGCATTATTTTTCTTTGGATTCATAGTGGCTTATGTCACTCCACTCTATAAGGAAGAGCATTATGTGTAATTATCAAAGCAATTTTGTTTATTTATCTGTGACTGATGACTCCCAATCATCAGTGTTTTATAAGAAGCACTCATTTTTGGAATTATGTAGTAATATTGTGCACTTCCAATAAGATTAATTGGAGAATGACTCTTCCAGATGCTAAAGGCAGATGAGACCTCTTTGTTCACTTATGCATCTGGACTATATATCCACTCCATAATTTGTGTTAGCTTTTTACTATAGAAACCATAGGAACTATCATCTTGTAAAGCATGGCTTGATTCTGTAACTACCCCCAAAGCCAATGTCAAAGCACTGCATACTGTATGAAAGAGCAATAGTTTCATACAATTTCTTCCTGATTTGATCATCTTTTCTACTGTTTTAGAATATGGCTTTTTTTATAACAAAATGTAATGATGAAATCATGAAGAGGAGGGAGATCAATCTACAGTATTGTTTTAACTGGGTTGTCAGAAGTGCATAGAATTACAAATGTTAGATTAAGAGCCTAGTGCATTCTATGGTCTATGCTGAGTTTGCAGCTTCAACAGGGCAGAAGTGGGGATGCTACAATTGGCTCATGAAAAGTGAAAAAAAAACTGGGTTGTAAATGTTTGGTTTGTACATTTGATCTCTATACAGTGATCCTTTAGTGCAGTTGTGCAGCCATCAGGTACAGACATTATCAGCCTTACCTGTGGTGGTACCCATGTCATTTACAATCAATTAACACTCAGCACTTCGACTCATACTTAAAGGAAGACAGTTTGGCCAGGACCAAAACAGAATAGGTCATTATGTGTCCAAAATCTCAGGACAGTAAAAGCAAAAGCTAGAAGCAGGAAGGATAATTCCAAAGGATTGCATTTAGGGGTTTATGTGAGGTTACTATTTGGGAATAGTCATTACTGTAAGGCAAGTCTTTGTAGCCAAAAGTCTTGATTGAATTCACATTGTATGCAAGTCCATTCACTATCTGCTAAAATTATGGTTCCATCCAGAAAATAGCACCATTATAAAAGATACATTATCAATGATAATTTTTTTTTTAAACAGTTGACCTTCTTCTCCAGTTCTTGCATAAATTGCTTTGAAGTTCTTGTGGGACTACAGTTGGAGACTCACATCACTTGACGCACCATAACTGCTGAAGGAACAAATACTGCATCCCGAAGAACCCTCCTACACTGCAACCAGATGGAATATCCAAACATGTTCCAATCTCCAGCACATTCAGTCCAGTCTCTACCAGTGCCACAACCAAGGAGCATATTTGATAATGGTGACCATGTTGACACATGGAGGAATCTCCATCAATGTTTTGTAATATAAGGGCACACATTTTCACTCAAGTTCAGCTTGTTTGTCAAACTAAATGTGCTGGTATCTGGGACGGTGAGGCTGTCAAGCTTCCTAATGGCCTTGTGTCAAACATGCTTTGCTGGCTGCCATTAAGTAAAGGTACCCCCTCCATGGTGGGCAAGATCTGTCGATCAGTCATGGTACCACTGGGAGATGAGCCCAGAAAACCTCCTTGGGAAGAAATTATTTTTTCAGGGCTGGCTGCCAGTCTGGGGGAGGTGGAGAAATTATATCCATATAAGCCATATGGGCTGTGTAATCTGAAAGTACTGTAGGAGCTCTGGTGTGTCTGATTGGCACTGAAGGCATTATTTGACGGTGAAGGCATGATGTACTGGAGCTGAGGAGATGATATCCCAGAGATTGGCACAGGCAATCCAGCCTGATGGCAGCTGAACGCCTCACTTTCATTGCTGGATATTGACATGTTCACACTTGCTGTGTTAGCAACTCCAATGTAGGGAGGGCTCCTCTGGGAGGCAAAGGTTTCACTGCTAGGGTTGGTCAGACGGTTGTAGGTTTCAGCGAGACTACTGCTGTATCTGTTAAAGGTCAGGCCTGTGCGGTTGCAGGTTGTGAATTCAGCTGGACCCAGGTTGCAGAGCTGGCTACTGTTTGGTGACAGGTGGAAAGCTGGAGAGGAGCAGGAAGAGCCAGGCAGAAGATGTGTAGGAGCACTGTTTCCTGCACTTTGGTGGGCACTTGAAGATACCGTACCACCTAGGATGAAAAATACAGTCTCTTGACAAACTTTGTTGTTGTAAATGTCTTTTATTCACTTTGCTATATCTGTCCTTGGATAGGGCAACATTTCTGTGTGTAACATTGACTGGCTCAACAACATCCAAATGAAAGTAACAACTTTTTTTCATGTTAAACTGTTTCCTGTGAATGTTTTGACAACATGTTGAATGATTCCATGTTCTGGTAAGACTGTTTTCAGTCTTAGACTGGTGTAGCACACATAGTGCCAATGAGTACTGTAAAGATGCACGGTTACATACTCAACAGATCAGTACATTTATGAGTCAAATAGGCCAGGAAGGTGTTCAGTTGCATCGCTAATCTTTTGCTGTAAGGAGTGTTACAATTGGTACCTGCACTTCTGGTTCAGAAAACTCAGAATCAGTTAAGACTCCTTCTAGTGACAGCCCTGCTGTAGCCTTGCTGGAAATGCCTGTAAGTGGGCATGAAGCAAGTAAAGTACCAAACACAGCTTGGACAACTAGTATGCTGACTCAAAACCTGAAATTGCTGGGAAAACTCAGCAGGTCTGGCAGCATCTGTGGAAAGAAATCAGAGTGAACATTTTGGGTCCTGTGACCCTTCCTCAGAATAGGTCTGAAGAAGCGTCACTTCTCAGGTTTTGTTTCTGATATCTGGGATCCGCAGTTCTTTGTTTAGTATGCTGACTCTGTGTTCAGCATCATACATGAAAATGACCACTTTGGAGCTTTACTTCAGGAAGAGTCAGTGATTTCAGGAAGTAAGGAAAATTGTCAAATGATATATTCATGTCCAAAACACTGCTATGATTCAGTATCGTGTTAAAGGGAGCACAGAATAATTTGTTATTATGTTAAGCTTATCCAGTACTTTGCTTCTTTCAAAACTCCCACTGTCAATGTTTAATGTGTTCCACGTTTGGGACAAAATCCAAGTGGTTGATTTTGAAATGTGTCCTCTAGCCACACCCATATAAAGTTTAAACACTTGTGAAGTTGGACATGCATTGAGAATTAGGCTTGCTGGAGTTTACACATGAAGCATCAGTTTTACATGATCTGATTTTGCAGTCAGACCTTTGCTTTTGATGCCACAGGGGAAACCTCAACATTCTGAAAGAATGCTTATACTCTGAATTTATGCAACTAATTAAGCACTGAGTTTATATGGACAGTGGTGGACATAGAGAGTATTTCAAAGTTAAAATGGCATAGTGTAAAATAATGTTAACTGGTTTCACTTCATTAAAATACTAGCCTGACAAACAAACATTCTTTGTTTTATGCCAACATCAGTTTAATTAGTATAAAGCCTAGAGATATAAACTGAAAAGAATTTTCCTACTTTTTTTTAAAATTGTTGTCCACACTGCCTGGTGCTCTAACAAAAGTGACGGTTTCAACAACAAAACATGGCAATACCTTGTTTGTGAATCCCAGGTATATCTTCAAAGCTGAGGGTCCGCAAAGAGGGTCTCCAGAATGCATAGGATTCCACAATAGCCTCTAGACCCATTCTAAATCAAGAAAATTATACTTCATAAATCACTTGATCTTTCATCTATAAACTGTCTTCATAAATCGAAATGAACGTTGGCAAAAACAGAGTATTGCGGTACATCAATTTGGAACACTTTATTCTGCAATTATTTTGAAATGTCCACAGTAATTACAAATATCTGAATATCTGTAATGTTATAAAGACTTATTCAGTAATAGAGAGTATCTGATTACAATGCCAGCTTTATAGAGTGGAGCAGTATGTGTTTAGCACAAAGCCCAACACCCACTATGTCAGCAGAATATAATTCCTGTCAATATAATTGCAGGTAGGTTAATCAGGAATGTCAGTATACAGTGAAAGTAACAATTTTTCATTCATTTTTTGTATGCCAATTGGTTTTGAACTTCACAAAATAGGCACAGGTTAGCTGAGAAAATACATCACAAGTAAATTTCTAGAGTTAAATTTGGTGTGAAAAGATAACATGACTGTCCTCTCATTTATCAATCAATTAGTGTTTTTACTAATTTCTGTTTTTGCTCAATGAGTTGCTTTGCTCAAAGGGCTGATTGCTTCAATCATGGGAATTTTTTTCTATTTACTGGACAATTCCCAAATGTATTTACGCAAGAATATCACAGCAAAAATGTAAGTGCTGGAAAAACTCAGGTCTGACAGAATTTTGTTATTAGCGGTCACTCTGGACCAATGATTTGTTTCTTTGCTATAAATTAGTACTTGCTTTGCCCTTTGTTCCATTACATCTTTGTTACTTAATCTCTCCCATTCTTTCAATTTCTCCATTTCATCACCTACAAAAGTATAAAGTACATCACATTTCTACATGCCTTCATTTCTGAAGATGGGTCATATTTGATTCAAAATGTTGATTCTGTACGGCTCAACTGATAGAATCCATCCTGTTATTTTCTTTCCAGAATATCTTGTTCTATTTTCAGATTTTCAACATTCACCAAGTTTTTAAATTTTGCAATAAATAAATGTTTGATCTGAATCAAGTAATAGTTCAGTGAATTTCATTCTTTTTCAATACTTTCTGATTTGTGGACATCTTAAAAAATTGTCTTATTCTTCAAAGATTTTGTTTGACACTGGAATAATTTTTAATGTGAAATATAACTTCATTCCATGTTTGTATGTTCATAACATTGATGTATATGTTTTGAATATTTTATTATTATTTCATCCAAATTTGCTTAGCTTTGAATGAAGTCATTGAAATTAAATAATTGCATACTTCCAGCCAATGTGTGGATGCAATCCAGCCTTTGGGACAACATGTCTGTCTATCTAAATAATAGAGTGGAACAGAATTACTTGGAGTTTTCTTTCCCAAATTTGAAAATGGTTATGAATCATTTTTAATTTTCTCCATTCTATTCCAGTAATTTCATCTCCATCCGGAGCCTTTGCTGTGGTGTGAGACGAATGGTTTAAATATCAGAGTGAGAATAATTGCCACATTGTTTCACAAGGAAATTGTTCAGTCAAATGCTGGAATTTAAAAAGAAACTTCTAATTGGTGTTGGCTGATCAAACGTTTGCTGATATAAGTGGGTGTGCAACATTGATTCATAGGATATCTGTTGGAGCCGGCTGTGGACCATGGAAAATAATTACAATGAAGCTGGCTGGACAAATCAAGAATGATGCCAGTCACAAGACAAATGTTCAACAGGAAAATTAGCATAAACTAGTCATTTAATAGTTTTTGTAGCAAAAGGATATTAGTAGAATTTCCTTTGTGATGTTCATTTAACCCAGAGCTATGCCTGATATTTCTGTGCTTGAGGGTTAGAACAAATGTAAACTTCCTTCCTTTCATTAATATTGCAGCTAAAATGCATTTTTAGCACATTTAACATTGGTTCAAATTAGTAAACACTAGGCACGATTGTGCTTGAGAGAATAGCAGTACCCTAACGATGCACATTAATGCACAAATTGCCGTGAGGAAGAAACACTCCTTCAACCTCATTTGGATCACGTTCATGAAAATAGCCTTTGTAATTTTCATGAAGTTGCTGTTTTTCCATGTTAATTGTCAATAAACCTTGCCACCAAAAGTTGATTTTGGTATTTATCAGTGTAAGTAAAATTTCAGTGGTGGAATATGTATTATTGACTGCCAAACAACCTTTCTTGCCCAAATTGGGTAGGCAATGGCATAGTGATGTTGTCACTGAGTTAGTAAATCAGAACCCCAGCCTAAAGTTCTGTGGTTTGGGGTTCAAATTCCACTTGGTAGATAGTGCAATTTGAATTCAATAAAAATCCAGCATAAAATACCAGGCTAAATGCAATCATTATTGTGGATCATAGAATCCCTGCAGTGTGGAACCACACTATTGGGCCAATCAAGTCCATACCAATCCTCCAAACAGCATCCCACCCAGACCCAACCCCCTACCCTATAAACCTGCATTTGCCATGGCTAATCCACCTAACCTGCACATCTTTGGTTTGTGGGAGGAAACCGGAGCACCCCAGAGGAAGCCCACGCAGACAAAGAGAGAATGTGCAAACACCATACAGACAGTCACCCAATGGTGAAATTGAATGCAGGTCCTTAGTGCTGTGAGGCAGCAGTGCTAACCACTGAGCCACCGTGCAGTCCCATCAATTATCACATGAACCTATTTGATGCCTGTTATGGAAGAAAATCTGTTCCCTTACCTGGTCTGGCTTACATGAGATTCCAGACACAATAATGTGGTTGAACTGGCAGCTGGGCCATAAATGTTAGCCTACATCCCACAAATGAATAAAAGAACTGGTAAAAGTGTGAAGCCTCACCTTTTTAAGATGTGGAATTGTTTTAAGTGATTGTAAAAATATCAAATGTGACTGTTTTCTTATTTTATTTCTGCTTTCTCTCTCTCTCTCACTCTCAGAATCCAATCATTTTCTCTCTTTATTCACAAACATACAGGCATGCCATTCAGCCTCCTCCATTCAACAATATCATGGTTGATCCGATTGTGGTCATGACATCACATTAGCACCTTAGACAGTACCTTCCAAACCCATCACCAATTCCATCCAGAAGAACAAGGGCAGCAGCTACATGGGAACACCATCCCCTGCTAGCTCCCCTCTAAGCCACTCATCAGGTCAACCAGTGACTCCCACTTCCCATGAGTGAATTAAAAAACTTCTCACTTGGAAATATAACAGCGTTCCTTCAGTGTCACTGGGTCAAAATCTTGGAATTCGCACTCTACCAGCATTGTGGGTCTACCTACAACACATGGACTGCAGTGTTTCAAGAAGACAACTCACCACAATCTTCTCAAGACCAAATATGGACTGGCAATAAATTAAATTTCAGTCCTTTGTTTTTTCTAGTCCCAGATCCCTTTGCACTTTTTCCCCATTTTATGTTTTGTGCTATGCTATTGAAATTCATATTTCATAAGTAATACATGCCCTTCTTGCTCCTGATTTTCCTACCAAGACATTGAGTCTGTTGTGTTATTCAATATGATGATGACAGAACTGAATACAACCTCAAATCCACATTCACACTTTTCACCTGCTTGCTTAATAAGAATCTATCCACCTCTGCCTTAAAGATATTCAAAAACATTGTTTCTATCACCTGTTCAGGAAGATAGTTTCAAAGACTCTTGACCCTATGAGAGAAACATAGATCTTTAGTGGGTAACCTCTTATTTTTAAACATTTACTTAGATTGTCCCACAACAGGAAAGATCCCTTCCATCCTGTCAAGGCCCCTTGGGATCGTATGTTTCAATTATTTTGCCTCTTACTCTTCTAATTGCCAGCAGATAAAGGCCTGGCCTATCGAACCTGTCCCCACAGGACAACTCACCATTCCAGCTATTAGTCTGATAAATCTTCTCTGTACTGTTTTCAATGCATTTAAATCCTTCCTTAAATAAGGAAACCAAAGCTGTACACAGTACAGGTGGCATCTTGCCAATGCTCTGTAATACTGAAGCATAGTCTGCCTACTTTTGCATTCAATTCTCCTTGCAATGAATTATAAATTTCTATAAGCTTTCCTAATTACATGCTGTACCTGCATACCTGTCTTCTGCACTTTGTACGCTAGGACACTTGGAGCTCCCTGCATCCCAGAGCTCTGAAATTTCCTGATAAAATAGACAATTTTACATTTTCCCACATTATACTCTACTTGGCAGATTTTTGCCCACTCAATGAATCTAACTTATGCCTTTGTGGCCTCTGTATGTCCTCTTCGCAGTTATCCTCAGCTAGAACCAAAGTATCTTGAGTGGCTATGTAGAATTGCTTTCTCATTGCCAGATGTAAGGTCACTAAGTACGTACTTAGACAATAGTGGTCAAAGGCAGAGAAGCTAAGGGTTTAGGGGTAAATGACAAACAAAATTTTCTGAGCTGGGCACAAGAATAAGACACCTTGATGATCCTGTCACTGGACTAGTAATCCAGAGGCCTGGATTGATATTCCAGAAATAGGAGTGCAATTCCCCTCTAGCAGTTGTAGAAATTAAATTCAATGAATTGAACAAAATCTGGAATACAAGTTAATAACAGTGATGGAGACCATGAAACTCTGCTAAAATCCCATCTGATTCTCTCCTGGAAAAGAAATCTAACATCCTTATTAAATATGATTCCAGACCCATATACTTGAGGCTTACTTGCACTATTAAATGGTAGCAAACTACAACAGCTTAATCCAAGATGTTGGCTCAAAAGCATTCCCTCCCACCATCCCCAGGCCCACCTTCAAGGACAAAGAGAAACAGACAAATGCTGAACTTACCAACAACACCCACATCCTTCTGTGGAATCAGTTTCCACGATTCTATGAGTTTATCAGCATAACCCCCTATTCCCTTCACTCGTGTATGTTTATTTAACGTGCTTTTAAAAAGCATCTATGCTATTCCTTGGTGATGATCTTATATCAACGGCCTCTAGTTATGCTTTTTACCATGTGTTGAATCACATTTGCTGTTTCTACCCCATCATAGCCTTTCTTAATTTAATCATCTTTATGAGGTTACTCTTCAGCATTTAATTTGTTATTTACGGAGAGCCACAATCTCACAGTTCTGGTATCAACTCTGTACTGATTTATTTTTCCATCCTCCTTTGTGCTTCTAGTTTTTCTATGATATGGTGACCAGAAATATACACTATGCCCCAAGAGTGTCTAATCAAGGTTCAATACAACCTGGGTATAACTTCTCTACTTTTCAGATCTATCCTTCTAGAAATAAACCCTTGCGTTTGTTATTTGAGTTTGTTATGATCTTAATACCCTACAATCAAATTTCAGTCCTTTGTATATTTGTAGTCCCAGATCCCTTTGCACTTCTACATGATTTTATGTTTTGTGTTATGCAACTGAAATTCATATTTCATAAGTAATACATGCCCTTCTTGCTCCTGATTTTCTTACCAAAACATTGCACTTATTCACTATCAAATTCATTTGTCACTTATATGCCCACTCTGCATACTTATTTATGCCCTCTTCTAAGTTGTTTAAGTCCTCTTCAGTTTTCACTATCTCTCCAAATTTGGCATTGTCCACAAATTTATAAAATGTGTTTTTGATTCCAAAATCTAAACCGTGAATAGAAACTGTATAGTAACAACAGTGGTTATAGATCTGATCGTTGTGTAATCCAACCTCTCCCCTTCTATCATTCTGAATATTTACCCTTTACCCTATTTTATATTTTCTTCTGGCTTGTCAGCTAACCATTGTCCTAATTGTTCCCTGAATTTGCTCTAATACGTTAATCAAATATATGGTTCTTTATTAAAATGATTTTTTGGAGTCTGGATTAAATTATTTTATCTACTGTACTTCATCAACCTTGTCTAATCTCTGTTTAACCTTCAAAGGATTTGATGACTCTGGTCAGGTGAGACTTTCCCTTTTGAAGTCCATGTTGATTATTCAACTGCTTTAGGAATCTCCTTTTAGGAACAAAAGCTGCCATCCTTACCAAGTCCATAGTACAAGTGACACCAGATCCACAGTAAGGTGGTTAACTCTGAACTGCTCTCTGGAATGACCTAGAAAACCATTTTGTTCAAGGTGAATTAGGGACTGTCAACAATAACTAACCTTGTCAGAGACATCCACATCCCCTTAAAAGAATAAAAAAAAATTATCATTCATTATCTATCATTTCTAGATGTTTTTCTATTTTGTCGTTTTGTAGAGATTGTTCCCACTGCTAATGTTAAACAGATTAGTCTTATATTTCCCTGTACATGTTCTACATTCCTTCTTCAACTGGTTATCCACCAGTCCTCCGATACTGTTTTACTGATTCTCAGCAGTTTTAGGCGCTCTGATGCAGTGTTGCCTACAATTGCAGCCTGTCTTTTTTTCCGGATTTGGGAGAAAGCAATACAAAATATTACAAAGGAACGCTCATATAATTGCCCTACGTTTAATCGAATAACCCGCAGTCTTTAAATACTCACAACATTCAAATAATGAAAATTATATATCTAACATCGTGTTGAACGTTTGCTTGCCAACATTCTGTTCCAATATGATGGCTTTCACACAGACTTTACAGGGGATCATAGGCATTTTGCAGGAAGCTATAATAAAATATTTATTGGGTTGACTTGGGCTCAAAAATCAGGCTTCATTTTCCCACTAATAGGAACTTTTGGGTTTATCCGAGATAAAAGTTGCCTCCCGGAGAGATGTTGCTAAGGCGATAATTTATACAAGATGCCTTGAACTTTTCCCATTTTATCACTCGCCGCGCTTGCGCGATCAAATAGCCCAGTTTGTTTCGCAGATTAAAATTTGTCCTTTCCTGTATTTTCTCTGAGGACAGTGGTTGCCCCTTTCTGCTTTTAAACTTTACGGGCAGTATAGAGGTCCTGCTGAAAAAAAATGCCCCGTTAATCTCTGCATCTGTCCCTTTTCCATTGCTGCCGGGAGGCGTTTGTGGTGCAAGCTCCAATTATTTCCATTTCAGTGAGGCGAGGGAAGTGAGGGCTTGACTGGAAAGTGTACTTTAACACGGAGAAAGCTGTAATTTTGCAGTGTGTGTGTGACATAGAGAGATTTACAACGTCGGCGCTGTTAAAGGCGCGCTCTGCGGGAGGAATCAAATGATTTACCTGTTACGCCCGGAATCTCGGAATCCTTTAGCAAATGGGTTCCTGTCGATCTTCAGTCGAGTGATCTGAGACAGAAGTGGAGTTGAAATTAGAGGGCCGCAGTTCTGAAGCTCCTGCTTTCAAACTGTATCTAACACTGCTGTTCTGTACAGGCCTTGCACACGCCGAGACACAATTTCTAACACTTTTCCAATTAAGTGTTTACGCTTTACCCCGATGCAGTCTTGATAATAACAAAATTAAAGTGAAACATTTGTCCAAAATTAAAGCCAGCCGGCCAAGAACGTAGTATTACAGCACATCAGCATTACATTACATTATTTTACATTATTTTAAAGTGTAATATTTGATTTACCAGTGCATTGCAAGAATGAACGGAGAGAGGCCGCTCCATTCGCCGTGTTAGTTTGTGTGTGATGCAGTCAGGGCGCAGGGTGAGACAGAGAGACAGGAAGAGAGACAGAGGCTTGGGGACGCGGTGTGGAGTGTGCCACGGGTTGCTGTCGGGTTGGGTCAGGCATACTCTGCCTTACCTGCTGGTTCTGGTAAGCAGTCACGGTTGTGAAGACGGTCTCGGGGAAGCAAAAGTGTTTCACCCCGTCTCCTCCCGGGATGGGCTTGACCGGCGACAGCTCCTCTCCACACTCCTTGCGGATGACATGGACCCGAGGCTGGTACTTGTGCATCGAATGCAATATAATCTGTTTCGGCAAGAGACAAACAAACTGAGAGGGTTATGTGTGAGAGAGCACATCTAGCCGGAGAGGCAGGTATTCTGTTCTTGGAGATAGTTAAGAACTGCCGATGCTGGAGTCAGAGATAACACAGTGTGGAGCTGGAGGAACACAGCAGGCCAGGCAGCATCAGAGGAGCAGGAAAGTTGACGTTTGGGGTCGGGACTCTTCTTCAGAAAATTCTGTTCTTAGCGCTGGGGATTTCGAGAATCGCCTGGCACAAGTCCCGGACGTGACAAGTTGCGTGGTCCCATAAGGTGAGAGCGAATTTGTTAGTTACAGGTACTTGGTTTCAGCACTCATGGGAAACCTCCTCCAGCCGGAGTTCCCCGGACGCCACAAACAGAAACCCCCTTCTACTCAAGAGAATCCATCTAATTATTTCTTCCTGCCTTTATGTACTTCTACGTTTTCTATTCTATTTGCGCTGGTACCTATCTGAACTGTGAGACATCAAACTGTTAGGAACAGCTTGTCGGGAAATCTTGCTATCGTTTTCACATGTTCGAGTAGACACCCAGAGTCTGTGTGTCTTTAAATAACTTTTGCTGCCCTGGGTTATTCCGTCAATTGTGGCACTGCAGTCAGCTCCGTCGTTTTCATTTTCGATCGTATATTTAAATAATTTCAAAATGTCAGAATTTTATTCCGAGCCAACGCTGCCTGACTCCACCCAGTTCAAAAACTTTCTCCCGGGGAATGAATCGGTCATGTCGCAATTTTTTGTGCCTGGCTTCCTAACCAATAGATCATTCTCGCCGCAAGGGCACACAGAACAGCTAATAATAGAGATGACACTTAGATCTCTGCTTGAGCCGTTACAAAGGCCTGTATGTTTAAAAAAAATCGTAGAAAGCAGAACACTCTCAACAGCTGGGGATAAGGTGGATATGTTGAGCAATCGAATCTGTACGGTGACTCCCGACTGCGGGGTAACCCACCAGAAAACAAAAGGCTAATTTGTAGAAGCACTGGCGGAGCAAGATTAGTTAAATCGTGGTGGACGTGGACACTGGCAAAGAGATTTTTTTTAAATTATCAGTCAGATCTACAAGGAACTGCAAAGGAGATTTGAAATGAGATAGTTGGGGGTGGAAAGTTGTAAATTCTACGTGCCCTGGAGTATCTTACGTGAGACATTTCTGTAACATTTTACATCGAACACCCTTCCTTCCAGAAACAAAATATGCAACAGGGTTAATTAACCTGGTGCTGATTTAGACGCCAATTGTAATAGATTGAAATTTAATTTTTCAAGTTTAGCAATCAAAAGACTTCTTATGAATTGTTGTAAAACTTGGTGGAGAGGGAGATTGGAATAATCGGCCTTACCTCAATTTGCCCTCCACGCAGTTGGCTCACAACCAACCCAGTCAGCTATTATGAATTGCAATAACAGACCGACTTTAGTGGTTCGAGGCGGCTCACCGCCGCCTTCTCGAGAGCCACTAAGAGTTTAACAATAAATGCAGTCCCAGAATAGTAATCTCTTTTTGTTGAGTTTTAACGACATCTCAAATCTAAATTCAAATCTGAACACCAGTCAGTTATCAACATTTAGCAATACAATTAGTCCGTGTTTAGATATTTCTTTCCAGTTTGTTCCCCCCACCCCGTCCCCTTCTTTGTTCAGCTGTGAGCACTGTCACAGGAACCCTCTTTGCCCGGCCTGCCAGCTTTATCCAGTCAGGACACAAAGTTAAGCATGCCATCTGTTGAAACGGAGCGCCACATTTATACAGGAGTGATTGGCAAACAATAAAATGCAAAACAGAAATCATTATCACGATCGCTTTATCGTAAAGATAAAAAAAAGGCTCGAGTCAGCGAATGGAACATTTAAGAAACTCGACGTTTCCCAGACAATTCCATAATCATTGTCACTGAATTGGCATCGCTTTTACAATGCTATCATTTACACAACTCCCATACATATTTACTTTTTTTTAAGTTTTCATGTGTCAGATGACATTCTCCTAGCTTTCGTGATTCTCACTTTGCATGTTAAATATAATTCAAAACTCTTTAGTGCTGAATCCAAGTCATCACCTATCGGAGAAAAAAAAACAGCCTGGCTGTCCATTTAATGACCCCTGCCTTGCTTAAATAAACACGTTACCTAATCTGCGGCCATCTCATAAAGTTTGAGGTCCTTTTAAAACAAACTCAGCCGGGTAGAGGCGTCAGGGACACAGTACAAAATGTGTGCCAGACTCGTTTACTGGTGATAAACACAAAATGCAGGCAGGTATGTGCACTAATCTGGTTCGGAATGAACCGCATCCCATGTGAAAGCAACAGTCGGGACTACTAAAGGGCGGCGGTTTTGAAAGACAGGGCGAACTCACATGTCCCTGGTCATCCAGTTCGTTGTTGGTGAGTTTGAGCTTGTCGAAGCTGATGACCTGCCGCATCCAAGTATCCCCCGATGCCGGAGAGTCCGGGTGGATGTAAACCCGAGGCGGCACCGGAGAATCTGCATTTCCGGCCACCATCCATTTGGAGCTATGATACACATACCTGCAACATGAGGCACAGAGAGCACAACGGAGCTGGATACTTCCGGAAACACCACAACATTTACTTATTCACTGAAATAGGAAACTAAATCAAGGATCTCCAAACATTTCGCCTCTTTGAAATAATTACAATTTTCATCTCCCTGTATGCAATTACAATTAAGTCGTGCGGAAATTCAAGTCCAGTAAATATTACAAGGGATTCATATGGCTGCTTATTTGCCTTATTATTTGAATTCAGTATTGATATTTTAGATCTGGACAAAAATAAAATTCCTGGAATGTACATTGGGTAAATACAAGGGCTAAGACAAGATCTTTCGGGTTAGCGGGAAAATGGGGTCTCTCTTGGTAATAGACAAGGTGTAAGTGCCTGATTCGTGATAAATCAAACGTTTGCCAATATTCATGGACTTACTCGAAGATGGGCAAGAGGATTTGTTAGGAGAACATGCCTTATTGCTGGAAAGTACAAGTGATGGGAAAGGTTCACATAGGTATTAAGAGCAGGAGTGGACCATTCTATCCCTTAGGCCTGTACCACAAAATGATGACTATAGTCTCTCGCCCACCGCGATAACCATTGACTCTTTAGTTAAGCTTTAAGATTGAATTGGAGGACATATAAGATTCTTGCAAAACGGTGTTCTGCTGGGGACTGTGGAAGGAGGAATGTAGATTACAAAGTGGAATTTTTATATATTAAAAATTGGTCATATAATTACGGCCACTGTTGGCAGATTTGGACACGGTAAGACATGCCACGGTCGAGGAACCTGGATTTTGAGAGATGCCGCATTTCAGTCAAGAGCTGTCTGTAGTTCCTGAAGGAAATCTCTGAGAGGGATGCAGTTTAATATTGCGGGACATGAATGGTTGGCGAGAACGGTTATGTTTGCGTTGGGCTGGGCTGCCGCTGGTTACACATGACTGAGTGCTCGTAGGTGTGAGGATCATAGACGTTACACTGTGACCTGAATTAGCGAGGAGTACCCAACTATTTGGGAATTCGACAATGCCCGTTTACCCACAATGGATTTGTTCTTATTGATATACACGAGCACAGCGAAAAGATGACATTCGGCCGGTGAGAGCTCTCCCCGACTGTTCTCATTCAGCTGTCTATTGAAAACTGTGTTCTAACTCACACTCTGGCCCTGCAGCGCTACAATTTTGCACATCAGTAAAAACCTAAAAGAAACCCGTTGTGCTCAAGAATTTTAATTCTGACTATTCCCTTAGGCGCCAAATATTGCGACTACGCGACTTCGAATGACGATAGATCACCGCTTGATCCCAGCTTGTTACCTGTACCGCTTATTGTCTACGGGTATAATATCCAAGGCGATGTAATACTGTTGGTGGGGATCGAGTCCCGTCATCTTCACCCGCATAGCCGGAAACATTCTCCTAGCAGAGACAAAAAAAGGAACATATAAAAATGAACCAAACAGCTTTGAGAAAAAAAAGGAAAAATCAAAAACTAAAACATTACACCCGTAACTCTAGAGACTGCCAAGACTCCGCTCAATCCGTTCCACAAACGCTGAAACAGAAAAATGATTGAGACTTTGCAGCAAAAACTTCAGCCGCCATAATAAACAGCCAGGGAAAAGCGGCCGACTTAACTGGAGTCAACAATCCCAAAATACAGCCTGACCTTTTAAAAATACTGAACCTGAGCTAAACAATAATAAATCGAACAGTTCGGATACAACAAGAGAAACACTTCCAAAACATCTACCTTTCGATACAACCTTGCAGTTTCCCTGTACCATGCACAATTGCCAAGACCCTTCCAAATGGGTGTTTGCAAGTTTAATCGCTGGGGCAACTTGGAAAAGCAGTTTAACCTTCAGTGCAATAGCTGTGCATGTTTTAAATTGACGTGAACTGGTCAGCTGGATCAAGGCTAGCGCCAAAACAACACTGATGTCTAAACTGTTGCTGAACGCATCCAAAACAAACACGCGCACCTTGCCTGGATGTTGTTGTGGGACACAAACTGTCACACTGACCTTCCTGCTTTCGTTATGATCATCTCGGTGCCGATCTCGTGAAACCTTTTCCACAGGTCAGCTCCTTGAAGCTCCACGTGAATATCCTCTCGGGAAGTGCCACACTTGGGCGCTATGTAGGCCTTACTGACTGCCGGAGGGGACGGACATGACAAAGCATCGTCCCCGTTCAGAACTGAAGCATCAAGGAGGAAAAACGAAATGCGTGAAAGCACCAGGATTTATAACGTGAGGTGACATAATTCGATACCAAACAAAACGATATGATGCAAGTTAAATTGTATGTTTGTAAAAAAAACTGAGGGATGTTTTAATTGCATAATCATTTCTACTGTATCCATAAAAGCCTGAAGTCATTTGATTTGTCCAGAAACTAACATGACATATTCTATGATCTGGAAATAGATTGTTAGAAAAACTGGGGAACGAGATTTTTTGATTGTTTAGGACTAAAACGAAACCAAGTTGCCAATAGCAGCATTCTTTGGAGAAGTCTGTTTCCCTCTCTCACTCTCAGAGAAGGAAAATGGTAAACAAGAACAGCTGGAGGATGCGAACGAAAAGACGG